ACTACTACCCCGTCCCGCCCTCTCAATCCATCCATGAATTTTCGTATTATTGTACATTTCACATCCCATGTAGCCATGCATGCATGTTCATTCTAAACAAATTTACATATAATTTGGTAGACTAGTCAAACATATATAACATGGTTGCATATTCCATTAATAAAACTATAGTTTTCAATGCTTAAAAAGATTAATATTTTTTATTATTAGAATATACGATCATGTTATATTTATATGTTTGACTAGTCTACCAAATTATACGTAAAATTGATTAGGGTGAACATGCATTGCTATATGACATATGAAATGTACAATAGTTTTAAAATTGTGTATAGGCACTTATTAATCGGTATCCATTAAGCATAAGTGAAGAGTGGTGTTGGTCAAGAAATGTGACTATGAATAAGAAACTATAAAGTTTACCATAATGTGGGAGAGGGAATATATATTATATATCCACACACACTATATACACACTTTGACTTCAATTAAGTTATGATAAAATACTCAAAATGTTATTACATTACGTTAAAAATGATCTTCTGGTAATTAAAGTTTTAAAAATTATAAAATAACCATCAGACTCTTGATTTGATTACAAAATGATCATTGCACAGTTCATATATTGATGGATCCAAATTTGTTCATCATAGAACTCGATTTTTATTATATTTGTTATTCATTTTATTGATCGCGTCCACCTTAAAATTTTAATTGTGCATACCCACATATAAAAAAGTTGTGTTAGTAGAATATAAACCAATGATCTCTTCTCTCAACTTGGAAACTCTAAACCCATGTGTTGAAGTAGTTTTGATGGAAGGGGGCGGCACCTTGAATTGAGAGAAAAACTATTTGAAAATTCATCTAATTAAAATAATTCTTTTTTTTTTTGGAAAATTAATTAATTAAAACAATTCAGTTTTATGCTGAGGGGGTTACAAATTTAAATGGGGGATCATTTCCACATGCAAAGATTTGGTTTTGCAAGAATAGTGCCCCTAACATGCTATCTACATATAACTTGCATTTCCTCGAACACTCTTGTAAATTTGGTTTGAGTGGTCACTTCTCTTTGAATTAATATATTTCATTTCTTAAATAATATATTAGATTGTATTATATACACGATGTGAAAAAATAATAATATTTAATTTTATAAGGATATATATAAATGTTTTTAATAATTTAAAATAATATTTTAAAGTTTAAATTTTTATTTTTATTTCATAATAAAATCATATGTATTAAATTAAATGATACCATAAAAAAATTAAAGACCCATGTATTTAGTTAGAAAACAAATGAGTATTTTGAGCTAACTAAATCCCTTTCCTGGATTTTTGAAATTCTCCATTGTTTTTAACCATACAAACGACTTCATTTCTTAAAATTTTAAAAACCTTCTCGTACAAACATATTTATATCAACTTAAAAATCCAAAATTAAAAAAAAAACAAATAAGGAATAAAATCCATTAAAATCCCGTCCCTAAAAGTAAAAACGTTGAATGGCACGATGGTGGAGGTAGCAAAACAAGGCTGTTACACTTTGTGTAATAGAAATGTCCAACATTTCGGGTTGGATAGGGTTTTTTTATCAATTTGATCTGATCTGAAATATATATATCATTCACCTGATTCAATCCGAAGAGTACATTTCCTTTTTCAGAATCCGATCATACCTGAATTTGTAAAGTATAAATCCGACCGGACCCAATACAATCCGATATAAAATAAGGATATAATTAAAAAAAACTATAGAGAGATGGGTATTATAATAATTATCCGTAAATTTATATGAAAGGATTACACTATTACTCCTGGATCAGGTTAGCTCAAAGATTTTTCATCCTCCACTCGAATTCGACCCAACTTGATCCGAACCTAATTTAAAAAAAATCAGATTTTATCAAGTTGGATTAGGTTGAAATCTGTCAGTTTTGAATTAAATTATCATCCCTATGTGCATGTGAGAGAGCCTTTGGGACAAGGATGGATCGAGGGATGGGGATAGTCGTCCTCCTGAAATTTTAAATTCTTTTAGACTTTAGATCTTTTATATATATATATATATATATATATATATATATATTAATAATCTATTTTAATCCCTCCAAAATTTTATAAGTTCGTCTTCCTGAAATTTTAAATTCTTTTATACTTTAGATCTTTAATATATATATATTATTAATAATCTACTTTTATCCCTCTAAAATTTTATAAGTGCGGATTTAATATGAAATTTTGCTTTTTTAACTATTTTGGGACAACAAAAGTATCAAATATCATGCCTGGATTTTAAATGTATATACATATGTTAAAGCTGGAAAGAACGACTCTGCTGATTCTCTGGAATTTATTTTTAATATTATAACATGGAAACGCCAACCATGAAAATATATCTCAAATCTCAATATATTTACGTGAAAAAGGAGAGAGACCGGCCTCATTGGAAACTCAAGTGTCAATCTCAATGACTTCACATGCACCTGCAATTTCCTTCACCAATCACCTTCGTCCTTATTAAACCTTTTACTCATCAACACCACCAAGTAGGGTGGTGGGGGGTTCATTTCTACCAAAGTACAACTGCACAAAAACCCTAAATCTTAAAAAAAACCATTGCATAAAAAGATGCAACAAAAAGATTAATTATGATGAGGAATGGACATGCATGCATGCATGCGACCGAAAGCAAGATACGGCCTTCCACTTACCTTGAATGAAACATTGTACTTAATAGTTTTTGTAATTCCAATGCCCTTGACAAATAAAACAATGTACTCATGCTTTGAACCTCTAGATTATCCTACCTAGTACTCCTCAACTTGATCTTTTTACCTTCCATAAAAGATATTCCCTCTTCATGACATTCATTCTCGCACATTTGTAGAGCATTTTCAAGTGAACGTTTGCAGAAGAGGGAAAGCTTTTCGTGGAGGACAGTCGGCAGAATGTGATTTGGGGTGGAAACAGCCTTTCAAGTAACGATTCCAAAGAAAAAAGTAATCACAAAAATTATTATATGAACCCTCCTCACTACGTTATTCATAGTCCTAACTAATAAAAGTCACATATTTCGTATTTTTTCTCCATGTTATTTTTTTCCAAAGATAATTTTTTTCATGTAAATAAGAAAGTTACTAGTTACTTGAAAGTTAATTATGAATAGATTAATGACATGGAATAAAAAAAGTAAGATAAATAATTTTTATTAATTTGGATCATAGATAGTTATGATAATACGTGTGATTATTTTACAACTTGGCTTGGTTGGCATATCCATCCACGTGGGAGTATTGCTTAAACCCTAACCACCACTATTTCTCTGCCATTTGGCCTTACATTTTCAATGCTTTTGCTTCATATTTTTGTCCATAAGGGTTCCCTTAGAATAGATGAGGATGCATGCCACTGTTGTGTCATTTTGTTTGCTCCATAATTTTCCCTCTATGTTTCTATCTTTTCTTTTTATCGTTATTGATTCGACGGTAATGGTATTAAAAGGGTTGAGAATCAAATTTTAAATTTATTAAATTAAATTTATAATTTAATTTTTAAGCATAAATTTATTTTGTTGAATAAGATAAGATCATGATAAAACTCTCTCACTGAATATTTAATGTTGTTACATTCTCAAAGTTACGAATTTAAAACCTTAATTAAACTAGAACAATTCATCTTAGTTGATAGAACATTTGACGATCAATTTAAATATTTTCTTTAACTTTTGGTCTCTTAAGTAATTTTTTAAGGCTTAAATAATAATTTGGTACTTAAATTATATTTATTTTCTCAATTTAATAGTTACTCTTTCATTGGTTTTAGTATTTAAATTATCATTTTTTTCTCAATTTATCTTAAAAACAAAGAAAAAATGAACATAACACTCACTTATTAGACACTAATAAATTTTGAAGTAGAATAAGATAAAAATATAATTTAAATACCAAATTTCATCAATACCAAAATCATCCGACAACACCCCTTCAAAATAATGGTTGAGTTACATTATTATAGGTTAAACGAGCGCACTAATGTTTGGAGAAACGAGAATGGTGAGTTATTAATTAGAGAATTAGGGTGTTTTCCATAGTGATATTTGAAGTCATTTTAAATGCTCGATTTTATGAAGGTGGTCGTCTAAAGTAAGTAATTTTTCTCTAATAGTTCCTTATATTCTTATATTTTGTACTTTTAATATTAAATTAAAAGAAATTAAAAGTATAGTTATTAAAACAAAAAAATTAGAAATTGAGACAAACTTACATTTAATATGAAATTTTAAATATAATTATCTAGCGTTATATATATATATATATATATATATAGTTTTTTATTAATTTAGGATGATTATAAGATGATGTATGTTTTAAAGATTCACAATAATTTAGCTACGAAATCTTAAACACTTTTATAATATCTGGTGCTCAAACTTAAAACATCTAGAGATAACAATCATCCTTTTTAACCATTGAAGTAGCTTGGTTCGTACCGTAACTTTATGTTAAAATATTTGATTTGAACGACTTTTAAATCTGTTTAACTTTTTGAAATATTTACGCTAATAAAAATATATATAGTACTCATGGATGTTATTATAAAATAAAGGTTTAATCATTCATTTTTTAATGAATTATGATGAACAATAAAAGATTCATACCTAAAGGAAAGAATAAATATCCTCCAACAATTTTCTTAAATCAAGTATATAATGAATATGAGATCTATTAAAATATATATCCCATAATAAAATAACAAAAGTTAAGCATTGAAATCGCATTAATTCTTGAATGTCATCACATGGTCATTTGTCTCCTTCCCCACCAAGCTCCCCTATTTAAACCCCTCCACTCCCTCAGTTACTCCAACAAATCAAGTCTCTTCTCGACAAACGCTTAATCTCTTTGAATCTACCTTTTGTTCGTCAATCTTCCAAAGAAAAGGAAAAAGAGCTTTTGTTCTTCAACAACAAACCCTTAGCCAAACTTAAACAATATGGAGAACTTGTTTCGACTTTTCGATCAAGACCAAGGTTTCTTTAAACGAAAATGGACTTTGGTCAATGGTCCGTTGATAGTCGGTGCCGGACCATCGGGGCTGGCCACGGCTGCTTGCCTTAGAGAACAAGGGGTACCCTTTGCTGTTCTCGAAAGAGCAGAATGCATAGCGTCTTTGTGGCAGAAACGGACCTACGACAGGCTAAAGCTTCATCTTCCTAAACAATTCTGTCAACTCCCTAAACTACCTTTCCCTGAGGATTTCCCTGAGTACCCGACGAAGAAACAATTCATTGAATACCTTGAGTCGTACGCTAAGCGTTTTGATATCAACCCAAAGTTCAATGAGTCTGTGCAGTCGGCCAGGTACGATGAGACCAGCGGTTTCTGGAGGGTTAAGACCGTGAGTGGCGCGAACAAGAAGGAGTTCGAGTATATTTGCCGATGGCTCATGGTGGCCACCGGTGAAAATGCCGAGTGTGTTGTGCCGGATATCGAAGGATTGGCTGACTTTGGTGGTGAAGTTATACATGCCGGTGAGTACAAGTCCGGTCAGACTTTCAAGGGCCAGAAAGTACTCGTCGTTGGATGCGGCAACTCCGGCATGGAAGTTTCTCTTGATCTTGCAAACCATAATGCTTCACCTTCAATGGTGGTTCGCAGCTCGGTGAGTCATCAAACAAACACCTTCTTAAAAGCGACATATAAACATGAGATTGAATTCTGATGGGATTTCTTTTGTTGTTTAACAGGTTCATGTATTGCCAAGAGAAGTTTTGGGGAAATCGACATTTGAATTAGCTGCTTTGATGATGAAATGGCTGCCCCTTTGGCTTGTTGACAAGATATTATTGATATTGGCCTGGTTGGTGCTGGGAAACATCGAGAAATATGGACTGAAAAGGCCACAAACGGGACCATTGGAACTCAAGAACAGCAAAGGCAAAACTCCAGTGCTGGACATTGGTGCATTGGAGAAAATCAAATCAGGTGACGTCCAAGTTGTTCCTGGAATCAAGCGTTTCTCACGTGGACAAGTTGAGCTTGTTAATGGCCAAAAACTCGACTTTGACTCGGTTGTTTTGGCCACTGGATACCGCAGCAATGTTCCCTCTTGGCTTCAGGTGAGAAAATGTTATAAACTACAGATTTTGATCTGATTTTTTTTTAAAGAAAAAACGAAGGATTAAATGAAGTAATGTTACAGGAAGGTGAATTCTTCTCCAAGAATGGGTTCCCAAAGGCACCATTCCCAAATGGGTGGAAAGGAAACAGTGGACTGTATGCAGTTGGGTTCACAAGGAGAGGGCTATCTGGTGCTTCCTCAGATGCCATGAAGGTTGCTCAAGATATTGGCAAGGCCTGGAAACAAGAAACTAAGCAGCAGAAAAAGAGAACCACTGCTTGCCATAGACGTTGCATTTCACTTTCACAATTGTAAAAAAAAAAGTAATCTTTGCTGTTTATTTTATTATTTACTGTATTAAAAAATAGTGTAAAAATACATAGCAAAAAAAAAAAAAGGAAAAGGAAACAGAACATGTAGCATAGGCTAACTGAGCCCTCTCTCCAAAGGCCCAAAGTTGTTTTTTTTTTATTTCTTTGGGCGTTTTGTAAACTGAGGTGATGAGGCTTTGTTTATTTCCTTTCTTTTCAATACAGTATTTGTACTTTTATAATTCACGAAATAAATAAAATGATACACTTTCCATTATTTCTTTTGTTGATTGGCATTCGGGATTTTATGATTCTGCAGTAAGTTCCGAGTCACCAATATTGACGAATTTGACTCAGTTTTCATCATTGATTCGGTTATTTGTAAGACCGGTTGATGAGTTGATTCGATGTTTTAAGATCTGCCAGTTGCCCATCACAAATGGCTAGGATCCATGATCATGATGGACCACAAATCACCATTTCATTCACCAACTTATATCAATAATCCAGCTGTTCCAATATTTTAACTCGCTATATTCATGTATATTATGTACGTGGTGCGTATCCCTCTCTCTACTTGTTTGTGTCATATTCTTACTTTTTTTTCATTTATGAAAAATTATAAATTACATAATTTCAGATAGGCATTTTTAATATATAACCGACCAGTAATTTATACACTATCATAAAATCTTGATTTGTGTTAGCATATTGCTTCATCTTTTTATGGAATATTATTTCCCACTTTTCGTACTGATTTAACTCGATGAAATGAAGCATAACGATCATCACATGAAATATGGAACCAACACTTTTATTTAACCCACTGTAGAAAACTCAAAAAGACAGACACAGACATTGTGGTCTAAATGATAATTTATCCATTCTTTTGAGGACTGTGGTCCCACATTAAGTCATCATTCACTTAGGTAATGTTCGTTTTTGAAGAGGTAAAATGTTTGTAGTCTGCGAACTATATCTGCATGCATTTACAGCAAAAGAAATTGACTAAAAGTCTGCAGTCTGCAAGAAGAATATTATTTGTTTTTTAACTTATGCTAAAATAAACTGAAATATAAATAAACTGATCTTTCAATAAATTTAATAAGTATTTTATAATTTTTTAAACTTTATTGATGAAAATGATCATTAGTATATAACTCAACGATATCTAATATGTTTTATTTGAAAAAATATATTAAATAAATATTATACGAATTTTATTATTATAAATTATTACATCTACGGACTATTAGATTTTGGTTTTAATATTATATATTATTTTAAAATTATTATTAAATCAATCGATAATGAAATCAATTTGATTTTAATTCAATCTGTTTGTTTCGATTTAAGTAATTGTTAAAAAATATATATTTTAATTCTCAATTATTATCGATTCACAAATATATCAATACTCGATTTTATAATATCATTTAAATCATTTTAATTTATTCGAGTGGTACAATCCGATTCTAGTAACATCAAAAAATATATATAATATATACTCCATATAATATACATCAATTAGTATTTTTCTATTTAGAAAAAAAATATTATTTGTTTTTTTATTTATTTATTATGTATAAAGGGACTTTCATACTTTACCATAATTAAATGATAAGAATAAAATTTTCAATAGTGTGAATATTTTTTTTATTAAAATATTTATTTTGTCTTTTAATGCTAATAATTGTATATCTCCATGATTTTCTAAGTTTTTATATATAAAAAAAAGTTTACTAAGTTTAATTGTATAATATTTTTTACTAAGTTTAATATATTTTTTCAAATAAAGTATATTAGATATCGTTGAGTTATATTCAAATGATTATTTTCGTCAATAAAGTTTAAAAAATTATAAAATAGTTATTAAATTTATTAAAATATTATAAAATTATTAATAAATTTATCTAAATACTATAAAATAATTATTATATTATCGAACTTTTAGAATTTATTATAACATTATAGTGACTATTTTGTAATAATTCATTAAAATTAATGATATTTTATAATTTTTATAAAATTAATAGCAAAAATGGTTCTTTGAAGAGATTAGAAGACGTCTGCAGACATAAGGCCACGTCTGCGCTGCACATACCATGCGCAGACGTTAGAAGAGCTTATGTCTTCTAAAAAATAAACGATCTACGAAGACCACGGCGAAGCCCAATGTCTGCGCGTGGTCTGCGCGGCGCAGACATAAGAGCTTTGAATACTTTAAACAGTGAAAACAAACACCACCTTAGTTCACATCACCTTTAACGAATATTCTCGTTTTCAACTTTTATTTTTTTAATATTAAATAATATTTATAAGATAATATTTATTTTAAAAAATTAATTATTAATAACATATACATACATTGTAAATGCAATTACTCGAATATAAAATTTAAAAATAATAATAATATTTCTTTTAATCACTTAAATCATTCAATAGTTTGGTTTTAACTTTTAAATGTAAATTTTAAACCAATGTCATATAATGCACAATAGAGCTTTGTCATGTGAAAGTTTGGGAGTTTCAATGCAATCATCCTTGTTTGTTATTATCCAAATTAGGTTTATTTGGAAACAATACAAATATAAGGCTTGATTGTAAAATCATTCTCGTTGGTATGTCACGCGCTAAGTGGGAAATTGGTTGGGATAATTATGACTACCTCCAGTGCATTATTTAAAGGGTTAATTTAACATTTGATCCTTCTATTTTTCTACTTTCTCGATAACCTCTCAAAATTATAGCCGCCAACCTTCGACACTCCTCATTTGCCACCGATCGACGTAGGAGTTAGGGCAAATACTTGATCATCATTTGCATATCTGTTTCCATTCCCGCCTTTTTGATTTATTGATTTAATCTCTAAATGTCAACAATAATGTTAAATCAGAAGAAAAAAACATTGAAAGAATAACCACAAATGAAAAGAAAATAAATAGAATTTAGAAAGTTGTATTAGAAAATAGGGTATGCAAAATTATACAATTTGGGTACGATCATCAATAGAAAATAGGTAAATTTATATTTAGTGTCTAAACTATTACTTTTATTATATTTTAGTACCTAAACTTTATTTTTGTCAAAATTATATCTAATATTTAGTTTAGGTTTCAATTTGATACATACGGTTAAAAAATTAACAAAACTATTGACGTGACACACGTCAACATCACCGTTAAATTTTTTACGTCGGGGTACAAAAATGAAACTTAAACTAAATGTTAGATATGATTTTGAATGAAAATAAAATTTAGAATAAAAGTAATAGTTTAAGTATTAAATATGTAACTTACCCTATAAAATATAAAAAAATCTCTAAATTATACGAAGATTTAAAATTTCTATATGGTACAATCATACCCCTAACAGCCCCTCGATCCATCCAAATATTAGGGTCTTAATATTGTTTTTTGGAAGATATTCTTTTTCCTGAAGAGTAAATAATAGGAAAAGGATTGGGCCAAAATTGATAAGTTTTGCAAATTGTGGGTAAATGTGTGATTATGTTAGAAAAAATCATGTGTGTTCACTACGCCCAGTAGGTGTCTAACTGTCTATGCATTTATTTAAGGTTTAATATAAAAAAATTGTTTAAACTATACTTTTTTTTCTCAAAGTGGTATAAAAAAATTTCTGTCAATTTAGGTTGATAGTGTTACAAATATTATTATTTTAGGTGTTTCGATCGGAACAATCATTAAAAAAGGCAGTTAAGTGACACGTGCCTCATTCAAGTAATTTTAAAATTTTTATTAAAAAAATGAATAATATTATCAATTAAAAAACTCAAATTTTTTTTAAATTACAAAAAAAAATCCTAAAATCCCTTATTTTAAACCCATACCAATAGTCGGCCATCATCGGTCGCTGACGCCGTCATGACCCGCCTACCAACTCGTCGACGAGCCCCTACTACCAGCCATTCCTCTCGTCATTGTCCCAATCTATAAGCCTTAATTTTTAAATCTCTAAATTACTATATTAATTCAAATTCTTAAAGAATGATGAGAGGTTTTAAATTTTCTAACGCAAGGATTTTGCTGAACGCAAAGGTTATTTAGGAGGGATTTCAAGTTTTTAACGTAAATATGGGGAGGGAGTTTCAAGTTTTTAACGCAACAAGGAGGAGGTTGCTAAACCCCGGGTGGGGGTTTCGATCAAGACACCTAAAGTGATAATGTTTATAAAGTTAAGCAGATGGATTGATTGAAAAATATTTAGACATCAATTTAGATAAAACGATGCAGTTTAAGAAATTTTTTATATTAATCCTTTATTTAAACAAGTTATGCTTTTTATTGACCGTTTTAAGTAGGGGTGTTCGTGGTCGGTTTGGATCGGTTTTTTGCTAAAAATTCATCTGATCCGAAAGTATAAATGTTTGCGGTTTTGATGTTTCTAAAAAAATATGAACCGATCCGATCCAATTAAATGCGGCTTGATTCAATTTAGATTTGTGTGGTTTTTAGATTCTAATTTTTCAAAATAATTCTTTAATTTTTTTCATAAAAGAATTTATATATTTTAACAAATGCAAGCTTGTGAAGTTTGCTCACATTAATAATTCAGCAGCAGTTGTAGATGAAACAAAGATTTTTCATCCTTGGGCGTAGATGAGTCCATTTCTTTCCCTTTTGTAAATTCAATATTGTCAATATGCAAAATTGCAGCAACCACTTGAAATAGCCATTCATTGTAAGAGACTATCGATTCGATTCGGTTTGGATCGATTCCGGATTTTTAAATCGAAACGAATCGAACCAGTCATTTTTTTTAAAACAAAAACACTAAATTAGTTTTCTTTTTCTTTTTGTTATCAGTTTTTTGGATTGGTTTTCGATTGTTTTTTCATCGGATTGGATCTGAACACCCCTAGTTTTAAGAGATTAAGCATCAACAACTTCTAAAATGCCATAATTTTATTTAAACATTTAGTTTTAGGGTAAAATACACAAATGGTCCCCCAAGTGTAGGTATTACTTTGTTGAGTCCATCGATTATTAAAAGCTATAAAATGATCATTCGACTATAGATTGTTGCTTTGTTGTGTCCCTCAACTATTAAATACTATAAAATAGTCATCTAACTATTCATATGTTCCAAACTCGTCATTTTTTTGTTAAAAAATTAATGGTCAGACTATTCATATGTTCCAAACTCGTCCTTTTTTATTTAAAAATTGATGGTCATATGAACTGGACGTTAACATGTTGACTGAGATACGATAAATGTTTGAGATTCTAGGATCATATTTTAGTCAGCATGTTAACATTCAACTCAAATTGTTGTCAAATTTTAACAAAAAATTACGAGTTTTGAACCAAGATTTTGTAACTTTTAATAGTTAGGGGACTCAATAACATAATGCCTTATAATTGGAGAACTATTTTATAACTTTTAATTATCGGGGAATGCAACAAACTAACACCCTATAGTTAGGGGATCATTTGTGTAGTTCACCCTTAGTTTTAACATCTATTGATAAAAGAAATACTATAAATTGGGGTCAAAGCTAGGGCTGTTCATTCAGTTAATTCGGTGGTCGAACCGACCGAATTATCATTAACTAAATTAACCGTTTTTTTTTAAAATTTTATAATTTATATAAAAAAATAAATATTTTACAATTCAAAAAAAAGTTTATAATTAATTTAAATAATATATAATTATAAAATAAAAATTTTATATAAATTTTTTAATTAATTAATATTGGTTTAGGTTTAAAAGTTATTGGATCTTAAATTATTAATTAGGTTTTAAATGGTTTGGGCTGAGCTCATATGTTATATATAATATATTTAATATTTTTTAATTCAGAAAAATAGTTTACATTTAATTTAAATAATATATAATTATAAAATAAAAATTTTATATAAAATTTTTAATTAATTAATATTGATTTAGGTTTAAAAGTTATTGGATCTTAAATTATTAATTAGATTTTAAATGGTTTGAGCTGAACCCATATGTTATATATAATATATTTAAAATTTTATTTCGATTAATTAACCGATTTCGAACCGAATTAACCGTTAACTGAATATTCATAAAAACCTTAACCGTTCCCCGACTGAACTAATTCGATGGCTGACCGAATTAATCGAATTAATTCAGTTTAATCAATTAATTCGGTTAAAATTAAATTTTGAACACCCCTAATCAAAGCTTCTTCCAGTGAGAAATGGAAATAGACATACTTGTAAGCCTTTAATTATGGTTTTAATGAACGCTAATTATGCGATTAAAGAACATAATAAACTCATTACTTACTGCCCGTAAACTAAATGTATGTCAATTTCAATTTTTTTTAAATAATATGGGTAATTATAAAGTAGTATTTATTTATAATTATTTTAATTTTTAACAATACATATCTTATAAACGTGGCATCTCGTACATAAATTTTTTAAAGAAAATTATTTTTTTTATTATTAAAATCGTTGGAGGGAATCATTAAATATTTAATTTTCATTTAAATTATTAAAAGATATAAATTAAAAATACTTGTCATCCCTACACACAAAATCTAAAATAGGGGTCCATTACTAATGTTGTGAACTTGTGGTATGTGGAAGTGGGTGGATCGAGGCTTGAACATTGTGCATAAAATCTTATTATTGTGTGGATACGGTAGTTGGAGTTGTCATTCCTAAATGCCAAAAAAAAAAAAAACCCCTCATTTAAGAGGCAACATGGATGAATCAATCAATCGATGTCACTTAAAGAAAATTGCAAGGTCAATATGGTAATGCTGCAAATTTAGCTAAATTATCTTTTAACATAATGATTTTAATAGATAAAAGATTTATTTTTATTTTTTAAAATATTAGGTTTGAGTATTTCATATGTATAATATAAATGTTCATTGTGAAATGATTGAGAGTCTTTAAACATATATTATGTTTTTATTTATCCGAATTTATAAAAAAGCTAAATTATGTTTTAATATTTAGATTTATTCATCTGTCACCAAACGTTTTTTCAACGGGAGAAAATGACTTCTTATAGAAAATATTGCTGGAAAAAATGCAAAGATTTCCTCCTTATTTGACATTTTGGAATGGTTAAAATATAAAATGGTTTCTAAATTATTTTATTTTAATACATATCTTTAATATTTTTTAGTAAAGAGGCCCAGTAACTAATATAAAATGGTTTCTAAATTATTTTATTTTAATACATATCTTTAATATTTTTGAGTAAAGAGGCCCAATAACTAACACCCTCTCGCTCGCTCTGTCTCTCCAGCAGCTTGCTTCTCTTTCGCGCTCACTTCCGTAATCGAAAGTAAAAATTCATAAATTAATCAGAATGAAATAATATATTTGGAGTCCGACACTAAGTCCTCCACAACCAAATAAGCTTAACTAAACACCAAAATACCCCCCCTCTCTCTCTCCTCTTATCTGCTTGCTCGCAAAGCTTTTATTTTCAGACAAGCACTTTACGGACGCACCGCCACAAACCGCAAGGCGTGATAGTTAGAGTCCGGCGAATCTTCGTTCGTATTTCATCTGATGTCATATTCTGGTCAACAGGTCCCTCTCTTTCGATCCCTCTTTAAACTAATGTTTGCCTCTTAACTGAACGGAAAACGACAACGTTTCTATGAGTGCTGGTTTTCTATGGAGAGCTATGAAGCAGTTTTTAGTTTCATTACTTTCTGGCATTCTTCTTCCGATCACTTTTTATTCGAAAAAAATTATTAATTCTCAAGGAAATGTAACTGCAAGATGAAATCCAATTTGCTTTCTGTAGATTCTTTCCTCCTTCCTACATTCCCGCGGTAAAATAAGTGTTGTAGTAGCCCTTTTTTTATAAAAAAAATAGAAATGTAGATTTTTCCTTTTTGATTCGACATATTTTAGATGTACTTCATTTAAAATGATAAAAATTTGTCATTTTTTCCTCTCGTATTTTAGAAGTATATACCACTTTGCAGTTTTTTGTTCAGAGTTAATAGTGACGTGTGATGTGAGCAACATTTGATTTAAGAAAAAGAGAATAATTTCTGAATTTTTCTCCCTTCAAGAATAATAGACTTGTCTTTTTCACATTCTCTTTTATTCATCACTTATCCCTTCAAAATCAGGTTACTTTTTTCTTCTTTGCTTTGAAGCCTCCGTGTCTTTGCTCTTCTTGTTGTGGGGATTCTTGGGCTGAAACCTTAATCTGTAGTATGGAATTTGATCGGTGAAGAAAGTAGTATGTTTGACTTGCAGAGTATTGTATTTTGAGTTGGTTTGGACTTATAGGAATATATATCCCTACAATTTCATTATTTTGAGTCCTCATTGTTGTTATTTTGTTGTTTGAATTTGTATTTTTTTTCTTTGAAGTTTATTATGTTAGGTGCACTCACATTAAACTAATATGCGGATTTAATTTGATATTTTCTCTTTTCTTCGGTCGATTTTACTTTTATTTCTGGAGGGGAAATCTTTGGAAATTAATTTAGGATTTTATTTGTGTGGTTAACAGGTGTTGAAATGAATGGGTTTGAGAACAAGAGAGGTCAGAATATTGAGAAATTTCCAGGATGCTTGGGCAGGATGGTAAACCTGTTTGATTTGAACACCAGTGTTCCTGGAAACCGCCTGCTTACTGATAAACAGCATGATGGTGATCTCCTTTTCATGAAAAAGCTAGTTTTGGTTTTATCTACAGTGAAGTTTGATTTGTTTTCTGGATATCGGTATAATATGGAGAGAGTTATTTTTCAGTCTTGTTGATAACGATTAATTGTTCCCATGATCAGCACTTGTTTCAATATTTCTTTCTCCAATTCAATTCAATGCATCTGCAGTTCTTTTCTTTTTTCCCCGTGGTAGTTGGTACTTGAAGCAATTTGAGAACCCTGTAAAGTAATAGTTGGGAAAAAGAACTACCATATATGCCTTTATATTTTCTTACAAAAGTTTGGAAGTTTTTGAAATGGTTGAAATTTTATTCTGATACCGGAGGCTTGTTGTTTTAGTTCATGTTTATTGCCTTAAGTGCCGATGCTTGCCTTTTCTTTGTCTTTCTATGATTATGGTGTCGGTTCACTGGTATTTTTAAGTTGAACAGTATTTCCTCTTAAAATAACTTTGGTATTCAATCTTATACATGAACCTAGTGTTGCTTGCTGGTATTTTTGGTTATCTACGACTCAATTATATATTTGCCTTGCTATTTTTGAAATGTTGCTGGTTGACGAGCAGGTTCTTCAGTCTCAAGGAGTCAATCTGGTGTAGCAAGGATGTCGAGACCCACCTTTGGAGATCAGAATCATCAGATAGAGGATAAAGTGGTACAAAACTGGGTGTTTAGTCTCTGCAATAGTAATTATTATAAACAAGTTGAAAACAGATTCTGAGCAGAATTTGTCTCTATATCTTCCACTTGAATTTTACTTTAAACAGCCTTGTGTCCTTGCTCCTTACCTGTGTTGTAATTTTTGGTGCCTGCAGATTTTATCCAAAATAAGGCGAGCTTTTTCAGACAAAAAAGATAATGGAACACCCGTGAAGATGCTCATAGCCCGGGAAATGTCAAAAGAAGCGGCTTCTAAGCATAACCCACCCAATTTAGTTGCCAAGCTGATGGGACTTGATACACTACCAAGGAGGCAGCATAATTTATCTGCACAAAGATGCCATTCTAAAGGTTTTCCTCAGCAATCTTCAAGTCATTCTGGAACGCCAGTGGAACGCTGGGAGCAAGATCAAGGCTTTGCGGACAAGGAAATGCTAAGTGAAATAAACCCCTGTCAAGAGCTGAACAAATACATAGATGTTAATGAAATCCGGCAACAGTCCCCAATGGCAACCTATTCAAGAGATAGCTCTCCACAAAAGTGGAGGTATAAAGATAATGTGAATGAGAAAAAAATGGCATTAGTTCATCAGAAGTTTATGGAAGCAAAGCATCTGGTGACAGATGAAAAGCTTCGCCAAACCAAGGAATTTCAAGAAGCACTGGAAGTTTTGAGTTCCAATAGAGAGTTATTCCTCAAGTTTCTGAAAGAGCCAAATTCCAAGTTCTCTCAGCATCACTACGGGTTCCAGTCTTTATCTCAACCTCCTGAGAAAATGCGTATCACTGTTCTTAGACCTAAGATGATTGAAAAAGAAAATTTTGCTGGAATAGGGAGCGATGATAAACAGACAAAGAAATCAGTTCGGATGGGTCGTGGAAATGGGTGGGATAGAAAGAACGAATCATGTGATCTTCCTTTCCCCAGTCCAGAAGTTGATGAATATCCTTCCCGACCAACTAGAATAGTGGTACTGAAGCCCAGCCCTGGGAAGTCTCCGGACATTAAGACTGTGGCATCTCCATCCCCCTCATCACCTAGGATATTGCTTGGTGATGATTTTTTTAAGGAACCTGAACATGATGGTGCACAAGAACCAAGAGAAGTAGCAAAGGAAATGCAGCTGCGTGAAAATCTGATTGGTCACAGAAGGGATGAAACATTACTTTCTTCTGTGTTCTCCAATGGTTACGTTGGTGATGATAGTTCACTTAGTAGATTTGAAAATGAGTATGCTGTGGAAAGCCTCAGTGATTCCGAAGTCACATCACCAACTTCTAGACATTCATGGGATTACATCAATAGGTTTAGTAGCCCTTATTCTTCCTCTTCCTTCAGCCACACATCATGTTCTCCTGAGTCCTCAGTTTTCCGGGAAGCAAAGAAACGGCTTTCAGAAAGATGGACCATGATGGCATCAAATGGGAATTTTCAAGAACAGAGATATGTCAGGAGAAGCTCAAACACATTGGGTGGGATGCTTGCTCTCTCTGATACAAAGAAGTTGGTGAGATCTGAGGAAGAGGGAAGTACTAAGGAGCAAGAACCAAGGGGATCAACTTCCTACATAGCTAGTAATTTGAATAAAGAAGAAAATAAAATTGATTCTCCCAAAAATCTTCTCAGGTCAAAATCTGTTCCTGTGTTGTACACTGCATACCGTGCAAGGCTTAATATTGAGTTTTCAGATCCTGAATCTAGCAAAGAACAAGTTCCGAAGGAACTGACAAAGGCAAAGAGCATGAAATCATCTTTAAAAGGGAAGGTTTCAAATTTATTTTTCTCAAAGAATAAGAAAACGAATAAAGAAAAAAGCATTGGATCTCAAACTGCAGAAGAATCACCATCTACAACTCCTGGAACACTAAGTCATCCTCAAAAGATAAACAATGATGCACCTCAGTGCATTAAGGACAGTTGCAACCAAGTGCATTTGTCTCCTGTTCTTGGTGGATCAGTTAGTAAAACTCCTTCACCAGATTTGACTGGCATGGGACAGAAACAATGCATGACTGCTGTGGAGGTACTTTTAACTTCCTTAAGTTTCCTGGTAATGCATATATTTATTGAATGCCCGCATCCAGTTTAGATAGTGTAATAATGTCTTCATTGGCTTGAACAAAATGGAAAAATCTCCATCTTTGATGATTGAAAAAAAAACTAAGGATTAATCTCATATTTAAGACTTAAAGAGTGATGTTTATTTTCTATTCATCAATTGTTCTTGGCTATGAAAAGTTATCAGTCATACTCTTTAGTCAACCTAGGAGGTCAGCACCAAAATTTACAAGCTGATAGCAGCCATGAAATGTAGATTCTGTGGATTGAACTTGTTATTAGATATTTTGTCTTCTAAATTTGTATGAGTTGATCATATATCAATACTGTGATTATTTTCTGTAGGGAGGGTTGTCTGTAGCAAAGCCTTCAATTCTTGTCCGTTTAAGTGAGAATATGGACCAGCCTAGCCCTACCTCAATTTTGGAACCTCTATTTGATGAGGATGAGAACACAAGTCCAGAGTCATCAGGCAGTATCAAACCAGTGCACCAAGGTGAATTTCACTTATTAAATTGGAACTCTGTTGTTTGAATTTCATTTCTCTTAATATATTGCTTCATTTATTAATACAGGAGTGGAGTTGCCACCGAAGTCTATCTTGATTGACAAGTCACCACCTATAGAATCAATTGCTCGCACCCTCTCATGGGATGATTCTTGTTCAGAGACACCCACAATGAATTCATCAAAACCCTCGAAGGTTTCCTCAGGTGTCAAGGAGAAAGAATATGATTTGATTTTCTCTGTCCAATCATTGTTATCAGCTGCTGGCCTCAATGGCAAAGTGTGCTTTGAGTCATGTATTTCCAGATGGCATTCACCTGAAAGCCCATTGGACCCGTCCTTGAGAGAAAAATATGCCAACTCGAATGACAAGGAGCATCTGCATGAGGCTAAGCTACGACAATGGAGATCTCACATGAACCTCGTATTCGACTGCGTCAATGCAGCAGTACTGGAAATCACAGGCTATGGATCAAGCAGTTGCATGAGAAACATGTCATTGGGCTGGTCCCATATGAGGGACACGGAGAGTTCATCATCATCACTGGTTGACCATGTTTGTGCCCAAATGAAGGAATGGAACGGTATGTGTTTGGTGGATGACGAAATCATTGTCTCTTTTGGTTGGTTAGCCAAATTATACTTGTAACTGGTTAAGTAGCTGTATAATGGGTGAGATCGATGTTTCTCTTGATCATCGCTCTACTTGGACTTCATGCTCGAAGTGCTCTGGTTTTGTAGATTATATTTTTCAGTGCTGTTGTATCTATCGCCATTGTTCAGACCATACTGCAGGACAACATTCAAAGGCACGATTTAGAAAGTGCTAACTAATGTTACATTGAAGATATTCTGAACTTAATGAAAAAAGAGAAAAGAGGAGAGAGTTTATTGGAAGAGAGTTGTTTATCTGTTATTCCAATAAACGAATAAATCTGGCCTATTAAAATAGGCTGAGTTACAACTCTAGAGTCCTGCTCTGCGGTTACTTTCTTACCTAAACAGATAACTATCTTATCTTCTACTTAGATGAATCTAAAATACAAGTTCAATACAAAGTAAATAGCTATACCCTACACTTCCCCCCCCCCCAAGCTGAAGAGTATATATTATATAATCTCATCTTGGACATGAATCCATCAAAGTTAACTCTTGGGCGAGTTTTGGTGAAAATATCAGCTAGTTGCAGTTGAGTAGGAACATAGCTTAGTTTGATTTTCCCGTTATTGACTAAAGTGTCTACCAATCTCCACATGCTTCGTTCTGTCATGAAGAAGATTTTTAGCAATACTTATGATAGACTGGTTGTCACCTTGCACCTTGAACTGATTCTTTAATTCTTTTAATAATCTATGAATCCACATTCCTTCACAAATTACTAGTGCAAGTGTTCAAAATTCAACTTCTACACTACTTGAAACTATTAAGTGCTTCTTACTTCTCCATGTAACTAGATTACTCCAAATAAAGGACTAATAGCCACTTTGTAGACCTCATTTCAATTAACTCTCCAACCCAACCTGCTTCAATATAAATCTCAACCTCGCGATTCTCATGTCTTTTAAAAGATAAACCATTATCTGGTGTCATTTTGAGATATCTAAGGATTCGATTGACTGCATCTATCATTCATATGTTGATTGACAATACCTACTGAAAAAGCAATATCTGGTCTTGTATGAGATAAATAAATTAGTTTTCCCACTAAATTTTGGTATTGTTCTTTATTAACCGACACTCCATAGCTTTAAGTTGGGATCCATGGGTGTTTTTGCTGATTTACATCCAAGCATACCAATCTCTGTTAGTAGGTCCAGAATGTATTTTCTTCATGAGATCACAATCTCAGAATTTGATCGAGCAACCTCCATCCCTAGAAAAAATACTAGAGAGTACCATGATCTCTGATTTCAAAGTCAGCAGCAAGTTGACTTTTTAGCTTACTGATTTCTTCAAAGTTATCTCATGGTATGATAATGCCATCAACATAAACAGTAAGGATGATCTTTTTACCTTTTGATGAAACCTTCAAGAACAATGTCTGATCTGACTTGCACTGATTTATCCATAATTACAGCATATGTAAACCTGTCAAACCATGCTTGAGGAGACTGTTTTAGGACATACAATGACTTCATCAGCTTGCATATATTATAGCCATTTGAGGAATTCTCTAAACCTGGAGGTATCTCCACGTATACATCTTCTTCAAGACCCCCATTTAGGAATGCATTTTTTGTGTCTAATTGATAAGTTGACTTGTCTTGCTGGAGAAGAGGTCCTTTTGAGGATACAGAGACCATCACACAGCTCAGCACTGTCAATCACTTTCCCCGAATCCAGTGCTTGAAATTCAGTGACACAGTTTAATTCACCACATAGCTTAAACAGAACGAGATTGCAAGCTAATTTAGGGAGATAAAGCACAGATGAGAGAGTGAGGTCCTCTGTTAAATTAATGGTTCCAATTTCTTCCACTTTGGAGAAAGTCATTTGCTGTTTTGATAGTTGAGTGACTAGGTTGTAGGTTGAAGCTTTGAAGAACACTAATTTCACCTGTCATAGAGTCTTGGCTCCAGAATCTACTATCCAAGATTTGTTTGCAGCGAAAGTGGCAAATGATAAAATTCATTGATGTGCCATCAGACTACTACGTTGATCATGAGAGCTTGACATATGCCCAAGTTTTGTAGTGCTCCAACCTTCTGCGCCTTTGTGAAGTGATTGTTGTCACCGTTGGAGGTGGAAACACCAGCCGTGTTATCAGGACAGATTATAAGAATAGGTGAAGAATTGAAGAGGGTATTTTGCGATGAATGCTGGTTTGATTCAGAATTAATTTCCGAGGAAGATATTGAATGTACGCCATAGAATTCCAGGGTCGGAAACTAGCCTGATACCATGTAGATTTACTGAAAAAGGAAAGAGTCTACTGGAATGAAACAAAAGTTTGAAAGGCAACTGAATGGAAATTATTTGTTGATCAGTCATTTTGAGCCAGGATCTACCAATCAGACCACCATTGTCAAAGCATATCTCAAAGATAATCAAATTGACAGAGATGAACTGCGTGCATATTCAATTATTTCTGAAAGAGATTTCAGGCATAGGCTGGATCAAGGGGAATCGAGTTGGATCATTAATTTGTTTCAGATTACACTGATTTTTTCAGTAGCTTTCAAACAATCAAATCAATCACATATTACAATCTAGAACCGCTAGACTGACTTCAAATTCAACTATCACTTCCATACATGAAATTATCATTTGAGTCTGATGCTGTATATTATCAGTCACTAGTGAGAGTGGATCTAGATGTGGTAAATGTTAAGGTGTACATCTGCAAGAAAATCATATGCACACTTACAAATCAACAGTTAGGCATTTGCTACTAAGATTCCAGAATATGATGCACGGCTCGGTTAATTGGCACTAATGAGTTAGATCATTAATTTGTTATACTACCACCAAATAGTCCATTAGATTCCCCACAACCATGGATATAGCATGGCATTTATGATATAAATTGTCCTACAATACAACTTAGAAGAACCGTTTCAACAGGCAGCAGTCATCATTCAAGCCAGAATTATATTTTGCATAGAGGAATTGACATAATATAAAATTTATTCAACAGTACAAAGAGTGGTATCCCATCATTCTACAAAAACAGGATACCTTTTCTCTTATTCGTGAGCCCCAGACATCAGAGTGAGTACCCCTGCCGTCACCCTTGGCTGAAGTAGATGTGTGGCTAGACTTGGAGTTTAGGAGTGGCTCCCGAGTTCTACCTGAATATTTTCATGCTCATCAATGTTTCTTCTTCTAACGGAAACCACTGACCGGAAAATTACTGCCAATAGAAAAGATAATGCCTGAAGAATATAGGAAAAAGTACTAAACTAAAGAAGCAAGCGGATTTGCTGGATATCTGCAAATAAATGGAAAATAAAAATCCTTTAATTTCATTTTCTTATTTAATAATATATTATTTTAACCTAGCCGGTGAATATATTACCATGTATATTAACTAAAACTCTAATCATCTCATGGATGGGAACAGCATTTGGTATCCAAAAATAATTTATCATGGATGGGAAGGCACAATGCTCTGGTATAATTCCAAATAATTTTTATCACCTCGACAAGGAAACTAGGCCAAGGTTTCATCGGGTCAAACATTTAATTTTCCATTTGACTAGTAATATGCTACAACAGCGTTGTCATAATTTTTAACAATGCATAATCCTAGCATTCTTAATCTTTCTCATGAATTCCAGTTAAGATTTGAACCAAAAACCTACAGCAACCCCCACTAGTTCAACTGACTATTCTAAATACAGCAACAGGCCAAGTAAATTACAATATTAGTTTAATTTCTGAGACGTATTAACAATCCACCCATCCATCCAATCATCGGCAGTGCAAAAGCCCAAGAGATAACATACCAAAGAGGAAGTTCAGTCGTGACACTAAAAAGGCCGTTCAACTGATGTTTTTTTTCCACATCAGAGAAACTGCAAACCCTAGTCAGAAGGCCCATTCCATATCAATGGACCTTATTATAAAATCTATAAATCCTTATGACCATAACTAGAATTTTAGTATATCATCTGATGAAGTGCAATAAATAACATAGTACGTACTCATTTTGTTACTGAATTTTCATTTGACTTGTGTGCACAATAATTGCAATCAACTAACCTAGTGAGTTATAAAGTGCTTGAAAACATGGGCTAAATAACCTGAATTATGACCACACTGATGCCAACCCATTTACAAATATCAATATTGTCTTCTATGAAGGAGCGAAGGCAATCAAGTTCTCCAGCTGGGTCAAACCGAATATCCTGTCATACAATAGATAATTATTTGCAGATGATCAAAGCCATAGCATCACGTGACAAACACAATGCACCAAGAAAAATATTTTACCTTCTCCCAACGACGATCGATTGCAATAAATTCCACTAAAGAAGCTTCTATTAACAGGAGAACAAGTTTGATAAGTGTATACGGCAGTTTGATCAAGTTAAGCAAAAGCATGCAATATAATGCAGTCCATTATGCAACTGGCAGGAAATGCTCGTTATAGAGCCTTGTAAGTCACAACTACTAGAGACTTAAAAGTGAAATTCAGAAATTTTTGCTTAAAGTTTTGAACCTATTGTAAGCATTTGATTTTCTCCGGCCACCTTCACTTCTAGTAAACAAAGCATATATAGAGTGGAAGAACTTAAAACTTCAGCACATACAAAACCATTGCCTGAACATAATAAATTTGGCCTAGTCTATGTAGAGACGTTCAGAACCGCTGCAGCTAAATCACTAAAGCATTCGAAAAGAACAATATAAAGACTAGTCTAGGTAGGATACTAAACATAGGCAGCAGCCATTAATAGATTCAGCTGCAACGCAACCAATGAGACTAATGTCCACTCCCATAAAATAGTAGATGAACCTGCAACAAAGAATAAGAGCATCAGCTCATGCAAACATTTCCCAAACAAGTTCCGAATTGTAATAGCAATAGAATAGATCATCCAAGCAATAATAACTCTTTGTACTCGTTAAAAAAACTGCATGATACACATTAACATATCTAGTCCTAAACGAAAGAGTTGAAGTTGTTAGTTTCATACTACTTCAATATTATAAAGCTAATGATTATACAGTAAGAGCTAAAAGTAAGAAACAAAGGAACCAAATTTAATTAACAATTCTAATACATGGCATGATTTTGCTGCACAGCAACGAACTTTGTATAAAAATATTATATAATAATATATTACTAATAATAAGATGATGAATAATAGAAAAATAAACTTAATA